GTGAAGATTTGTTCTCGTAGAATGTGAAAAGAGCTTGGGGTCACCGGCTGGCTCTCGTTGACGCGGTCTTGATCTCCCGCCAGAGATCCATCGGGAGGCGATCGCAACGACTCCACCGCCAAAATCTCCACGAAACCTCGAACGAGGGCCATCAACGTGTGAAGATATTGCTGATGAACATGACGGTATGTTTGCACTGCCGATCCAAACGCACGACTCTGACGGCGTGTGACAGCTCCCCCTCTCCGCCGGTTATCATGGTCATCTGTTGGCCTCTTCCGCTTCTCAGCCTTGACTTTCAACGGCCACAAGATTCACTACAACCAGGGATGGGCCAGAGACGTGGAAGCACATCCTGGTGTGGTCGTCCACGGACCTCTGAATCTTATCAGCATGCTCGATTACTGGCGAGATGTTCATGGCAAAGGGCAAAGCCCACGGGAGATTGCCTACAAAGCCCTGTCGCCGATTTACGCGGGCGAGACATTCGACATCCGAACGGTGGACGAGCGCGGCCCAAGAGATGACAAAATCTGGGATATTTCTGTTGAAAAGGGGGACACCGTATGCATGAAGGCACAGATTCTGGGTTGAAATATCTGGTACACATTTGATGACAGCCCAAGAAATGGCTACTCGCGAAGTGCCACCAATGCTAAAACTCCCTCAAGGACGACATGCTTGTCCTTTTCGCCCGCCATCGAGTCATTTCTCGTATCACAGTACAAATGTATCACAATGCAAATGAGCGTCCCTCAGAGCGGCAGATTCTCCCACTTGCTGTTATACCGCACTCCGCTGAGCTTGAAGAGCTGCGTGATGGGGCACCGCCTCTCAACCTCCGACACGAACCTCTTGAACTCAGCAGCCTCATTTCCGCCCTTGATACTCGTCTGCACTTGGACCTTGAGATCCACGCTCTCCCAATTCGGGTTCCCCTGCTCGCCGCCCACGAGCACAGCTGTCGGCAGCACGCCCTCCAGCGACACGTCCCACTTGCCAAGCTTGACGCCATGGTCCTTGGCGACGACGCCGCCAGTCACCTGGTTGCAGGACGTCAGGCTAGCGAGGGAGTACGAGACCGGCGACGGCGCCGAGTCTTCGCCGCCCAGCGTCGTGTAGGTGTCGGTCGTGAATGAGTATGGCTTTCCCTGGATGGTGACGTGCTGTTTCGCGCCTGAGCCTTGACCGTTGATCTGAAGGGCGATGGATTGATTGAGAGATCTCGATGTGGAGAGGAGACGACGGGCGACGGCAGGGCTCGATCGGGAGAATCCGCCGGAGAGGCTGGAGAGGCGCTTGACGAACATTTTCGCGAGTGTGGAGAGGGCTTTTGATGAGGTTTGATTGTTCGCATATCACGAACGATTTGATTAATCTTCCAAGATGAAGAGGCACGTTCGGGTACGAGAGAGCTGCGATGGCTTGACCATCGAAACATTGAAGTTTCGGGGCCGTCTGGGCCGCGACTTTATGGAGGTTCCGGGACGATGCGCTGGAAATGTCACAATTCCGCCCAACATGACGCCATCACGGTGGCCGCAGCGCGCGCCTCAAATGAAATGAAATAGCATCTTTGAATGGGACGATCACTAGTTGCTTCTGCGTTGAAAGGTCCCAGGGTTCCATCTGCCTGATCCGCCAGGCTTCTGTCCACTGATCGGGTTCAAGTTGATTCCGATGGTGGTAATACACAAAATGCCAAGACTGAACTGGATAACACAGCTAATTATATAGCATACGAAGTTTAATATTCCGATGACCTTCTTCTTCCGTTCGCTCACCAAGTCATGCAGCGCTGCCCAGCCTACAAGGTCCGCAATTATCTTACTCATGAGTGCGCTAAAAGACTGACTGTCATAGCATGTGGGTGAGCAGAGAGGAGAGGTCTTCTGCAGGTGATATACGCAGTCAATTGCTGGGCAGGGGAGAGGAATACATCTGAATTCTGGCCTTCCGTAGCTAGAAAGGCCCCCTATATGCCCTATATACGTCCTTTCGTAGTCCAAGGCCCGTTGGTCAGCCCCTGATTCGTGGCGCCGCTGGTGCATCCTGACAATATCTCCCACATTCCAACCACCATGTGATGACAGATGTCGTACAGCATGGCACGTCTTTATTTCCAAGCTCTTTCCTCAACGATGTTCTAATGCCGATAATTCGACACAGGGTTGTTCCCAAATGTCGCTGAGAATATGTCCGTCAGATCACAAACAAGGTTTCTTGCCTCTTATTGCGAACGTATCGAGAAAAGGCTGCACGTGGAATTTTCAATAAAAAGTCCCCCCCTAAGGTGTAAGACGCAATGATGAAACCCTACGACAGAACAGATAGATGAATCAAGGGCCGAACCGACAGCCAGTCTCGCGACGTCCAGGCGTCTTTTCTCAGACAGGCGAACGCCTGAAAGGCAACTTGTACCGTCTAGGGTGCCCCGACTGGATCCGCAAGTGCCTCTCCTCAAGTTATATTTTTGATTGCGTTTGATTCCCTGGCGATCGAGACCACAGTGCCGGCCTTTGCCTGTGTTGCATAACACGGCATGGAATTGGTCTTCGGCCTTCGCTCGTCATCCAGTTTTAGCTGCTCCTTCTGCAACTCGGACAGAACTGCATTCCGCTCTAGGAGTGTTGATTGGCATGTCTAGATGCAATGCATTAAGGCACGATGCGGACCTTTGCCAGACAGGTCTCAAGTTCGGTGCTTTCGCAATCTTTGGCGAACTGGTCGCCGCGCTTGCAAGCAGCTTCTTCTTTGGTTCAGAAGGTAGACACCTCCCTGCTGGCACCTACGTAATTAAGTGAGGTAGGTATTTCGGTCAAGTATCCTTGTGAGTACCTGACGTCAGGTAGGGTGAGGTACCTAGCCTAGGTAGGGTAGGAACCATAGACTCCTCAACGTGCGCGAGCCATGCGTAAAGCGATCAACTTCTACCCGTTCACTCTCTTCCTGTAAAGCCACGCGCACGAAAACGCCAGGTGCTAACAATGGTG